TATACCATGTCACACAAAGAAAATGAACTCAAGAGAATGGTGTGAATGGTGCTACCTACAGATGTGACCAGCCATGTTTTCCCATGGATGTAGGTACTTGCATTGTAAGCGAGACAGTGACATCCCCAGGGGTCTTGCTCTTCCTCCTTTCCAGGCAAGTGATGCCTAAAAGATTTCCACTCCCTTATGAACCCTGAGTATTTATTCACACTTCTGCAAATGCAGAGGGCTAACTGGTAAGAATTCTGTACTAGCTCTGCTTGGGTTCAAACAGTTATAGAAATGAAAGTCAGAGAAATACCAAACAATGATTTCCTAAGAAACATTAATAATTTGGTCTATTTTTTAAATGAAATACTAGATTTAGGGTTACTTGCTATAGTAATCCAATACCTAATTATAAAAAAGTCATATGCTTAATTGAATTTATTTTCAGTTTCTGTCCATGCATTCCTTAATGAGTCTATGAGGCTCCCTGAGGCTATCATAATGCAGTGTTTCAAATGTACTCCCTAAGCCAAAATTATCATAGGTGACCTCTACCCATAACATTACAAGTGATAGTCTCATACTATAAAAAGCCAGTAATTTCTGCTATCCATAGATTTCAAAATTGATGGGAAAAATGTATGCTTTGCTTTTTGCAAAAGAACTGCTAGGATTTTCAGTACTTCTGTGGTGCTATGAACCATAGTTGCTAAGATCTTAATTCCTAATTTAAATCCTATTACAGAGAAAAAACACTGTGCATAATTAAAATATTTTTTTTACAATTAATTACTGCATAAATAGATTAAAGGAATTTAAATCTTTTGGTATTAAAAATCTAATGATAAAAAGATACAAATTATTATCATAGCATAAAGGAAACAATTTATACTTTTTAAGGTAAATGACATCAGCATTCTTGCTTATCTTAATCATAGATGTGGATATTCAGTATAGAAAAATGTTACATAGGTATCATTAAAAGCTGTGGAAGCAACAATAATTTAAATACAGTATTGTGAGCATTTTATTTCTAAAAAACAATGCTGATATTAACAGTATATAAAACATGCATCACTTTATAGCTACACTGCACCATTACAGGCATCTGTTCGAACTGGAGATCTCATCTCAGTTCCATTTTGCTTTCTGCATTGACATTTGTTTATGGTTGAAGAAATAACTATCTCAAGTATTATGTTTGCCAAGAGGCTCTTAACTTAATGTAAAGTTGCCTTCCCTGATAGTGACGCTGCTCTACAGCCTGGAAATTGCATGCAGGTTCCCATTACTAAATCTATTTCATAGCGGAATAGAAAAGTGAACTACTTGCTACAACTCAAGGTGTCTAGTGACTAATTGAGCCTTTGCCATGATGAAACTGAAGGTACACAGCTAGAGCTTTATTGCCACTGATAAATAATCTCTGTGAACAATGATTTCATTAGGTTAATACTAAACCTCATTTTGTCCCTTGTGCTCAGTGAAATTGGTGGGGTAATGATAAGGGTAACAAGGATAGTATCAGGGAAAAATCTGGACTTGAGATACATGAAAACCTTTTCCTTTTATACCCTCTCAGGGCATGCAGCTTTTCTTCAGTGTTGTCCAGGGTACTTTAAATGATGTTCTTATAAGAACAGTTTTCAATCTGAATTTCACATTTCAGCCTTCTTCAGTTAAAATTATCAAGTAATTCTAATAAGCAGTACAAGTAAACCAGGGCAGGAAAGAGAGCACTGTTAGTACAATCGCTGCAGAGTGGCCAGGGCACTCAGTAACCTTTCACAGATGGCATTTAATGCAATAGACGTCACAATTTAGTTTTTTAGATTAGATTAACACTTGAATGCATTTTATCTGCCTGAAAAAGAGGCAGGCAAGTGAGATGCCAGAAAGTTGGCAAAGGAGGAAAGAGACAGCTAGAAGAAACAAAATAGCAGTTTCAAATGATGTAATTTTCTTTTGCCACAAGAACTTAAGTGTCCCACAGCCACAAGGTTATTTTCCTCCCACAACTTCATCCCTCATTGTCTATCATAAACATCCAATCACTTGGTCAATACTTTTGACTTGGGCCCTGATCTTGCACACTTGCATACACATTTAAGTTTACTCACATGAGTAGCGTCACTGGCTGCAATAAGACAATTCATCAAACACGTAAATCTTAAGTTTTACAAGGAAAGTTTAACAAAGGAACAAGGAACCTTACAGTGTCAGGAAGAAGAAAAGAACTAAGAATTTCACCGATTTCTTAAAAGAAGTGTAAATCTTTCAGGATCCCTGGCTTTGTTTTGTTAAGGTGAAGCAGGATGTTAAAATAACTTTGCTTCTGAAAGTTTAACAAGGAACCTTACAGTGTCAGGAAGAAGAAAAGAACTAAGAATTTCACCGATTTCTTAAAAGAAGTTGAAATTAATTTTGAAAGATGCACTGAAAATGCTAACAGATATACAGAAATCATCTTTGCTCTGCTCTATCTCCTCATAGTGCAAACACAAGTTGTCCATGTTCTGAAACAGAAAATTTTAGAAAATTAAAATTAATAATTTGAAGCGAGCACGTTTTTCTCTGTCACACACTGTGCCAAACTGTGCATTACCAGGCTACTGATGTGCTGCTTTGAATTATTCATGGAACACTTAACATTACAATATCTCACTGATATACATCCTGCTGGGATTTATTAACACTATAATATTTCTAAAACTAAATAACTTAAAGTTTTGAGCATACGATGTCTTGCATTCACAGATCTCAGTATTGCAATACATTGTGAAAAACCCAGACTTGCAACACCTGGTATCATAGGGGATAGATGATTTAACATATTAAATTCTGGTTCTGTCTATACATAACCTCTTTCTGTATGGGAGCATGTATGTACTGAAAAATTACTTATGCATTAGAAAACGTACAGCCATTTCAGAGTGCTGCTTTATGGCTCTAAAAGATTTGTGAAATGGCATTTCTATGGATTTGAGGTGTACTAGTTCAGAACAAAAGTTTGATGCCACTAGCACTAACAGGCCTCTCCTAGCTGTAATAAGGTAAAGGGATTTTTTGTGGGGTTTTCTTTTTTAAATATATAAAGTTTTCCACCTGGGTTTCTTAAATATATTAGCCTAATACCACTCTGAGAGAGCTTTCCACAGATGGGAGCAATGAGAAAAAAAAAAAAAATCACTGGATGTCAGCAGTGGAAGCACTGTCCTTAATCTGTGACACAACCACATGACTCTCTTTCTTCTCAACCTCCTCTGCTTTTCACAGTCTTTCAGGATCATCCTTCTCAATTAAAAGCCCAAGTCAGAATTCAGCTTGTATTTATTGTTTTAAACTATTTGACGGAAAGTCTCCTCTTAAAAGGCAGACAATTATATATGCTCATAATTAATTAATAGAATTATCCACTAATCCTAAATAACACTCTTCTTGATGATTTTCACTTGAAAATTAAGTATATAAAGTACTGGAAAAGCAAATTTAAAAGGGAAAAAAAAGAGCAATTATTTTTCTACTTAGACCAACATAACGTATTACCAATGTATTACTTAGATGTGACTAAATCACTTAAAGTATTTAAAACTAAAGACTTTGTGATTACTGCAATGTTTGAGATGAGCTATTAGATTATAAATAAACACTAAAGCTATGTATTGCACATGATAGACCTCATTACAGAAGACATCATATCTATGGGCTTTCCTCTTTTAAAACAGATACGTGAGTTCAATCCCAGTGTCTATAAAAAAGTCTTTGAGTTCAGTAGGAGGTTTGCTCTATGAAAAACATGAAACAGGGTGTTAGCAGCCTTCAGGACTCCAAGGAATGGAGCAGTTTCAACTTCCACTTAGAATCAGTTTTAAAAGTTGTTCCAAACAACTACCACCTATTTTCTTACCAGAGAAAATCAGTAGGATAAATCTCATTACTCTCTCATGAGTAATATACTTCAGCAGTAGCAAATATTCGCAGAAGTGTTTCAAAATAATTCAGATTAGGTTGTCAAAAAATTGAAAATAGAACACATCAAAATTTGCATGAGAATCAATGAACGCTCAAAGATGGTGTCAACTTGTACACATAACCTTTCCAGCATTAAAGCACTTAATAATAAAATGTATTTTGCAACTACTGAATTAAAATTTATATTGCACTGAAATAAATATCTTGTAAAAAGCCAGTTACAAGTTGCTTTGGTCTATTTGTAGCTTAATTTGTCAACAAAATACAGAAAAATTATCAGGAAACCTGATAAAAGTTTAAAATTGATTGTCAAAAAGAACTAATAAATACATTTTCTTAGTATACTGTATTATAACCTAAAAGAATACACTTAATAATAATAAATAAATGCTTTATTCAATTAATTTGGTGCAATCTTATATTCACTCTGTTAAAATCAACTTTGAAAAGAGTTTGATCACGTTGGTTCTATTTCCTAGTGATACGTAGAGGCTTCTTTTACATTTTATGACAATTTGAACATATTACAAACAAATCATTCAAAAACTAACAGAAATTAAGAAAACAACAGACTGACTGGCTAACCAATAAGATTCCAAGTTTGACAGGGTAGATGAGCTCCATTGTCTAACTGAGAATATTACTTGAAAATGAAAAAATATTTCCTGAAAACTGTAGAACAAAGAGGAAATGTTAGTAGAAATAACAAGAAAACAGAAAGGAAACCAACAAATGATTGTATTCAAAATGGCAGTCAGTAATTTTCAAAAGGTGTTGCCTCTTCACTCTATTATTAGTTTTTGTATTTCAGAATTTCTGTCATTCTAAGTTTCTTAGATAAATATGGTTCTTCATCTTGATAAATCTCCAATAAAACAAAAATATTATCTCCTTTGTGAGAACAAAGGAAAATAATATAGTCTATACAGCCGGTGGTCCTACGTGGTTCTTCTTAAACAGATGCACTGAGTTTCTGAAACAGTGTCAGAATATGGAAAGTTCTGAGGTGACTTCTACTCTTTTTGTTAATGATGTGATATTTACAACAACAAACAAACTCCTGACTTAGCTTCACCTCCATTTGCGTATCCCCCGGAATCTACTCTGTTAGGATCATTCAGTTCTTCAAACAGTCCCGTTTCAATGATTTCTTCCTGCCAGGCTATAGGGACAGCACCTGTGGCAAACTTTTTGAAGAACTTCTTATCTTTGTCATCAAACTCAATTCCTCGTACTTCAGAGAAGTCAGCAATGTCTGCAAGATCTTTGGCATAGACAACTGATGGATCTGGCACAAATGGAGGGTCAATAAGGTTTGCCTCTAGCCTGTGGAAATTTATTGTTTTGAAGAAACTATGTTTTCTTGGGTCATCATCTGCATTCCTAAAAGCAGAAGTTTGTTAATCAGTATGATGTTTTGCCCTCAGATGCTCTCAGGTGGGTCTTTGTGTTGTATAAAATGACAGTATTTAAAGTAAGGAGAGATAACAGATATAGATAAGGACACACACACACATATATGTATATATATAATGCAATGCAATTCCTTTTTTCATAACTAAAGAACGCTGCATTGCACAACATAAGCAAAGCTGAGAAGCAGAAAACATCCTGATCCCATTACTTATTACTTTACCTCTCAGGGTAAATTAGTCTGGGCAAGGTGCCATGCAAGAGCTGCAGCGCTGCTCCTGGCAGCACACTGAGATACCCAAAGATCCAAAGATCCACTTTAACCAGAACTGAAGATGCAGAAGGATGGGGAGGGGGAGTATTACATTTACTGTCCAACAATCAAAGTCCAGTGGTTGGCTCTATGTTGACTATGACTCAAATGTGTCCTCGTTAAAGCATGACCAGGGACCACAGCTTTTGAACTGAGCCTCTAGCGTCAAGGCACGCTAAGTTTGAGGTTCAAATTCTAGTGAAAGGAGGAGCAGAGAGGACCACAGTATTTTCTACACCTATGGATTCTTTTTTTATGTATTTATGGATGCACTGGTCTTGAAAATGGTAGCATAGGAAAAACATATTTGTCTGGTTTTTGGCCTCAGAAAATGGTAGTTCCTAACATGTTGCTTTTTTCTTTTCCCACTTCCTTACTAAATCATTTACTTAGCAAAGTGTAAGCCCTCAAGTATTTCTAGACAATGTTCTATGAACAAAATCTTTGGCAAGTCTTTTTATCTTCGCAAATGTGTAGAAGCACCATATACAAGTAGCAGATTTGTGTGACTACAGAAAATATTATTTTTTAAAAACCTTATACCATGGCATGCAGAACAGCTCCTCCAGCTTGGCACTACTGCCAGTTCCTCATATTTTGTCCTGTCTTGCTTCTGGCCTGCCTTGGTGCTATCTAGGGACAGCAGAAATGAAACTACCAGCTGTTTTTTTCAGCTCCCTTGTTATAAAAATTGCCATTTTTTGCCTCTGCTGCTTGGTTACCACAGGTTACCACAGCCACTAACCACTGCACACCACCATGGCCAGAATGCTAAATCACAGCCTGAAGAACAATAGATGCTGCCATTTGGGCACCCTGCACAATGAAAAAAATGTTGTTTTCAACCCAAAAGAGCCATAGAACACAATTTTGAATTTATAGATTAAGACAATAGGGATCATGGCCCCTGCATATACGTTGTCTTGCAAAACCATCTCCTAACTTAACTAGCTAGTGATAATCAAGTATTTGAGCAGCTCTCAAGCCTGATGTTATTTATTTACATTCACTGTTAGCTTGAAGTGCATTAGAGCTGCTGTTCAAATTAACTAGCGTCCTGGAACACCAGCGGGCTAGTAGTGCTGACAATCCTACAGGCAGATGCACACACTAAAATTTTACTTTATTTTGCTTTTCCTTTCTGTAACATAAACCAAAAAGCACTAGAAGCTGATGAAGGCTCCAAAATAGATAGCTGCAGTGCTTCTCCTCTTGATGTATTTTCTGACACCACCAAAGCCATAAAAAGTTCAAAAACATAAAGTTACAGGAACGCCATCTACTGGAACCAACTGAGGCATCTTCCAACTGGGGGGAGATGAACTTGAGCTCTTCCTATGTGAACTGCACGTTTACGTAACTTAAATAGAGCAAATGAACTCATCCAAACTCTGTCAATTTTGTATTACTCCATTAAAAAAAAAATCGCTTTACAGATTTGGGACATGAGATGTCATTCTGAAAAAGCTTGAGTGGAGAAGAAGTTATATCTTTCCTGACATAGCCAGTGACACTGAGTCTTCAATAACAGTGGAGTATTTTGAAAGGTCAGGTGTACAAAGTAAAGCTGTCCTTGAGCAGCTTTAACTTATGCAACAGGAACTTCTGTAGATAACCCAAGGTCATCTCGTCCTTAGTAGAATTACAGTGCTAATCTTTACATACGGATGAGCTGTCCTGAATAGCATCACCCTGTGTAAGAGGTACATGCAGGCTTTTCTTCTGTATCATGCCCAGGCACGGTATACATTCTATAGTTTTCCTTCTCAAAGTATAGCACAGAAGAGTAAGAATACCTTAAATAGCAGAAAATTAAAAATAATCTGTGCAATTACCTTTCTGAGTACATTTCTCTCATTGCTGAGAAATAACGTAGCAGTAAGCAGACAGAATGATTGTAAATTATTCCCTTGGCAAGGGGAACATGGTTACAGTGAGTAGTCTGATGCTGGTTTTGCTTCAGGCTTGCTGAATTAACTTGACCAAGTCACTCAGAATGTCTATAAATTTCATTTTCCCCTATTCTGAAATTTGTTTACGTCACAAAATGCTGTAAGACTGAATGTCTGCAAAGCATGCTGATTTGTGAAGTAGAATGCTCTAAATGTTTTTGTATTAGATCTATTTTGAAAATAAGCTTTTTAAACATATTAAAAATAATACAGATTTTGTATCAAACATACTCTATGTGCTGTTGAAAGTATATTTTTTTTTCTGCAGCCATGCAGAGCTGTTGTGAAAACTCATCAGGCACAAAGAATAGTCATCTTCATTTGGCACTGGAATAATAAGAATATGTATATTAATGATCTATTGCCTTTCATTAAAGTTAATTCTTTCAGGCAAATGTGTTACTAACATTTTGCAAAACTATTCCACATTGTTATGAAATATAAATTTAGAAGATTATCTGTGCATTTTCATTAAGTCCCAGGGTCTATTTGATCATTAGATTGGAAAAGCACCTCATACACATATTTGTATTCATAAGTGATTCAAATTATGGTGTATTCTAAAGACAGATACTACCAGCTTCCTATTGTTTTTTTACATTTTTATTATATTTCTTTTATTCTGTCTGTATTGCAAGTGTAGATCCCCAATCTCTCTCATTAGAAATGCACTAAATAATATATATACACACACACATCAGAGGGATCCAGAAATGCACTAAATAATATATATATACACACACACATCAGAGGGATCAGATATATTTCAACTGAAATATTACAATGCTTAGCTTTCCAATTTTCTTCTTATTGAACAGTTACTTGAAATTGCTAAGTCAGGGACACATCCATCAGTCTTCATCAACCGAAAGCCACTTCAGAAGTACCAAAAAAATGTTTAGCTTTATAAGAATTTGTGCCCAATATTCTTTTCCTCCCTTTTCTCCCTGGAATGAGTTAGGAAGACCAGAACCTCTACAAGATTTTTTTAAAAGCACTTGAGTAAAGCAGAGGAGTTAAGGTCTCTTTAGTAAGAAGCCAGTGACGCAGCCTTGCAAGTTAGATATCTGCAGGAAAGAGAATCCACACTGCAGATCTGGATTTTTGCCCACATCATTCCGGTAAGTGAAACAGCCCAAGATTCTGCATTCATCTGCAGTATCATAGATGCATGTATCTACTTGGATATCCTTTACCTTTAGAGGAAATAAAATGCAAGAGAAATGGGCTGCTCCCTTCTCCCAGAACTATACAGAATCTAACCCCACAAAATGCCAAGAAGGGAACTCCTATGAGTAGTCTGGGGTGAAGATGGACAATCACACTCCTGAAATAAAGAAAATTCTTTATTTCCGTATTATCTTCAAAACCTTCCTCTCTTTCTAGAAATGAAAGGGAAAATTCAGCACTCTGTAGAAAGTCAAGATCTGACCTAATTTTGAATAATATGTAAAATAATAATATTATTTGCAGCTTTAATTTGGCTTTTACTGAGTTTGAGAAGTAAGGCATACCTGCTTCCTAAACGATTCTCTATTTTCTTGGCCAAAAACAGTCGGCAAATATCTTTTGCTTCCTCTGTAAAGCTGGCATGTTCAAATTTCACCTCATCTTCCAGAGTTCTTCTTTTAACCTCATCCTTACCGACCTTTTCTTTGAAATCCTTAAACGGTGTTCGCCCAGCAATCATCTCATAAATACTACATCCCATAGCAAACCAGTCCACAGGATAGCTGTAATCTTCTTCCTTCAGGATTTCTGGAGCCATATAACCATTTGTCCCAGCCTATTGCAAACACATAGACAGATTTACTACACAATGTCAATAATGAAATGCATACAATTAAACAGATTAGTCTATAATTCTTAAAAAATATTAGTAATATAATTTATATATGTTCTATCCAGAAACTCTGTATAATTGAAATATTTTTTTATCTAAAATTCTGAAGTAGAACTCTGATTTAGTACATGGACTATTTCTGTCTTTAAACATCTCAGCATATGGGAAATCTGTCTTAAATATGCTCTTCAAAGGAGAAATGCCTGTACAATTTCTGCCTGAAATTGGTTTCTTTTTAAATTAATGCTTAGCTTGCTTTCTTCTTCCATATAATTTTTTTTCCTGACTAAGACAGTGCTGTTAACTTTGTCCTGTAAACACAACTAGCAGTCAATTTGAAAAGATTAAAAAAAAAAAAAAAATCAATGACCCATTCCCTCCCTGTTCAGTGGTTATAACTGGCCCAACACAGGGTCTGCTGCCAATGAGAAAATTCTCATCAAGCTGGCAGCTGAGCTGCATGAGGAGGTTCTCACCTGCACTCCCTGTTGGTTTCTGGAAGGAAGTTCTACAATAAGGGGCCAAGAAAAACTCTTAAAACCATTGTAAGAAAGTAAACCTATGAAAATTATAATTAGTATATTACATGCATTCAGGTGGAAGAACGAGTTCATATTTCCTAACTGAAAAAATCTCTCTGAATGAAGACTACTGCATACAGCACTAATGGACCCTTCTCCAGGAGAACTGACTGCTCTTTGAGAGGGGAATCTGCCTGCTTCTTCCCCAGCCCAGGCCTGGAACATTCCCCCTTGGGGACAGACCGCACAGTGTTCAAAACAGCTCCTGCTGCCTCTCCCTCAAGGGAGCTGATTCACCTGGGAGGGAAGAGGGGAGGTCAGCCTCCCTATATGCTTTCTGCTGCGCTGTTACGTGACTGAGGATGTGAGATTTCAATCGGAACAGCATTCCCTCAGCCAACTCAACATTTCCTGCCACGTCTGATACTATATCTTATTTTGTATTTACCGGATTCAGCTAACAGTGATAACTATGTCAGAAGTTGCTTGAACCTCTTTTATATCTTTTTTTAAATACTGAGACTGATGAATTAGTAGTATTACCATTTAAAATGAAATTACGTCTGTGCAAAATCCCACTAAAGGTTATTCAAGATGGTCATCATTACTGCTACCAGAATGCAGGTAGTGGCAGAGATTCACTCCAATGCAAAACAGAGTTAGAAAAGAGTAACTACAACTAAACCTCATTTGGTTGAACTATACCTGTAAAAAACACAGCTCAACAGATGAATTTTATTTTATGGTGTTTGGGCAATACCTCTAATTTTTGCAACTTTGGGCACAGTATTTCTGAGTCAGGTCTCCCTATAAACTTTAGCTCATGCCACTACGCATTACGGCATACACTCTAAACAATGTGAGCAAGACAAAACATCTTTGCATCAACTACAACATAAGCCTAATGGACAGAAAATTAAATCCAGTTTGTTTTCCCTCTTTGTATTTTTTTTTTTTTTTACTTTTAGGGATATAGAGCAAAATCCTCCTTTGGTTTGAAAAACCAAAATGAGATGAGGAGAACAAAAATATCAGCCACTGTCAAAGCAAAAGAAACGGTTAAAAGCGAACTGTTGCCTCCCTCACTAAAACCACAGAAGCAGGGGAGACATATGGGCACTGCAGCAACTTACATCACTTTGCAGGTAATTCATATTGTTTGCATTGAATTTCTGTAAGTAAAAGATAATATTGAAAGATACCCTGACAGTATTAAATTTTTATGTACAATTACTGTTCCATTCAGAAAGGGAGACAAGTGCCCAACCATGGACCACAGAACCCAGATCCATCTGGCCTCAGAAGATTACGAAACCTGGAAGGCAGAGGAGGGGCTGAAAGCAGTAGAAAACGTTTGGTACAAAAGGACACACATAGAGCTCATTGTGGGTTAGTGAACACAGACACTAAAGAGGCTTCTGGAATATTTTTTGCTCTTTTTTTTTTTTTTCTTCTGGGAAGCAATAAATGTTCCTATTTTTACTGAAATTAAGTTGGGGCACTAATGCCTTGAAGAACTGATGAGTCATATCATCACCAAATGTACCCTGACAGCACAGTATGGTATTTCTGATAAGACGTTACTTTGCTGGAACTTAGCATCATCATGCAGGAACTGGATAAATCTGACACGGTAGATTCAGAATTCCGCGATCATAAATGTGTCTCAAGGCAGCTCCTTTCAGACTGCCTCTCTTTCCTTCCACTCCTGTTCTTTCTTCCATAGTTGTTTTTTCAAAAGAAGTAGTTGCCACGTAATGTCAGTTTCTTCCATATGCATTTGCCACATAACCTTCAGTAAATCATACGATACGGAAGAACACCATGCTTTGACTTGGTACTCATGTTTCTCAAGAACAGAGGAAGCAAGACCACAACTGCAGACCCAAAAGACTGTATGACCACAATTTAGTAGAAAATAGAGATGGACCAACAACAGCTTCCCGCCAGACTGAAATGAAAGACTGTGGATGGGGTTAGTGTGAACAAGAATTACACTTGAAAATTCTAAGTTAGCAGCACTGAAATCTTTTGAGGTATTATTGAGCTGATCCAGCTCAATCTGAGAAAAGTCTAGAAACATATATTGTTCCTATATGTCAGCATTTTATGAGAGCTGTTTTCCCTCAAGGAACTTCATCAAAACTTGAACCTAATCTTAAAAAAAATCTCTCACAATCCTGAAGCTTTTATACGATTCTTAGTGAAGGAATAGGCTGAGAAACAGGAATCTAAACCTAATCTCATAACCCCTGAGACCCAAAACCCACGTAAACATAACCATTTTATAGCAGAAAAGGAACACATTTCACAAGCAGTCAGCAGTGATGTTTAAGGGGGAAGAAACATAAACCAGCAGGGGGAAGAAATACATAAATCTCTGCAATCTTTATCAAAATAGGAATTTGAAGAAGGAAGAAAAGAGCTTAAACTTTAGTCATTTCCACCTTTTTCTACATATGTGGAACTTTGGCAAAATCATTTGGGAAAAAAGATGATAAAGCCGTAAGCATTTGCTGTATTAGGGAACACAAAAAAAGGAATTATTCAACCTCTGGAATTGGAAGAACATACATCTTTCAAATGAAGATTTAATTCTATCTTTGGGGTGTAGGTAGCATTACAGGGAAGCTAAAACCTAACACCCCTGCACTAATCATTACGGAGAACAAGATGTAAAAATCAGATCACCTTTCAAGGAAAAGAGGTCCCGTGTCAACACCAAAGGCAGCCTCAATGACTCAGAAGAGGTCTATTCAAGCAGGTAAAACAGAAGCTTAGTGGAGGAAGTTTTTAAACTGTACAACACATTAGCAGTAGTGGGATTTGAGCAGGAAAAAAACTGTGTATAGGTGGAAAATGTATCCACTGATTCCCAAAGCAAAGTGAATCAGATTCATGAGTTCAGTCACTAACAGCAGGCCAGGGAGTAAATAAATATACTGTAACTTATACTCAAGTGTAAAAGGGAAAAAAAGGACAGAAAGCAAAGGAATTAAAATATATTATTAAAAAGATAAAAGCATTTTTTTCTGAGAAGGAGTCTATTTTCCATGGGCTGGTATTGAATATTTAGTCCAATTGGAATTATCTGACCATGCTTCAGAATGGATACCTCTAAGTATGGGTTACTGGTATGTCTATCACACAAAAAAAGTCATTAGGTTTGTATGATTTTGTAGTTGTTTCCACTAAATACAATTTATAAGTAAATTCACAAGTTGTGTACTAACTGGAAAACACATTTTCTTACTAGATCTTATTTTACCCAGGTAAATGTCACTCCTTTAATGGAAACAGGCAAAATAAAAAAACAAAACATCAAAAGTTTAATTCCTTTGTTGTCAACTCTACACTACTAGGAAGTGCATTGGGTTTTGACTGAGACTAAAAGCAAGCACATTAATTTCTTCTTTCCTGTAGGATTCCTGATAAGATCAGCAACCATTTGAACATATGTGTTGACTGCTCAAGTGATCTTATAGAGACACATAAGCACATGGAATTACCCCTTCACTGACCTGGAAGTGTTGTCTAATGGAACACAATTAAAACAATATCACAAAGGAGCCAAAGAATGTTATATTACCCCAACTTTCTTACAGAAGGCAGAAATCATGTGCCATTGCAGAGGAACACAACTGTTTGAAGTGTAGTCAGTGTAACACTAGCTATTTTTTGCTGGCACTCCATCTAATACTGTCTTTTGTGATGATGAGCAGGATGCCTTACTTGTATATGCTGTTTGAAATAAAAAAATAGTAATTAAATTTCAGTCAATTAAATTTCAATTTACTTGCTTTTGAAAAAGGTTAAAAGATCTACTTCTCCCTTCATTTCTGTATCTTGAAAACAACCCAAAATACGATTTTTCAATAATCCTCTAAAATGTAATGACGAATGTTGTCCTTGGACACATTAGTGAAGAAGTTCTGTTAAGTGCAATTGTTGCTTTGAGTGTGGTTTGACAAGGCATATTAGAAATGACTCATCTGAAAGTATACAATTTTTTTTGGTGAAATGTGATCCTGCATAAATTTTTAAAAGGTCACATAATTATAATCTTTTAATAATACAAGATATGATCCAGAGAAGCACTAAGTGCACTCGGTCCCCAGTACAGTCTACGGGTTCTTGGCACAGCACAACTCTGAGCAGAACGAGACCCACGGTGTAAGTCCACTCATACGTCCTGAGCACACTGCTGTCCAGAGAAGGGGAAGTTCCTTGAACACCACCGTTATCCCAGTTTCTACTAGATGCAGCAGAGAAAGAAACAGAACTCTCTGGAGTTTACACAGAACCAGGCAAATGAGAAGAAACAGGATTTAGGGATCTCTACCTTTTCCCACAGATCTCTGCAAAACAAACTCAATTGATATTACAAACCAAACAGTGAAGCAAATCAGAATGTCTATCTTT